CTATAGGCTGACCAACCTAGGAATCCCCTTTTACCAAATTCCTTTTCTATTTAAAACCTTGTTTACAATTTGTTTAGAAAAATCTTTTTACTTGAGTTATCCAACGTGCTTTACTTGCAACCTATTTGATTCAACGGTTTATTTGTAATAGACTAATTTGTGAATATAAGTTCGTCCGGACCCACAGTTGTGGACCGAGAGGGGCGCCTAACACCTTCCCCTCGAGGTTATTTCGAGCCCTTACCCTAATCTCTGGTAATGCGAACCAATCCAAGAGTTAATCATTCTAGGGGCCCTAACGCACCATTACTCGTTAGGTGGCGACTCTTCAAAGACCCAATTCCCAAAAGTAAATGAGTTATCATACCCCATGGAATGTCAAAATCCATACCTCTCTCCGCGAGGAGGGAAAAAAGGGGGCGCGACAATACAAATATGGGATGACATTGAAAATACAGTTTTAGCTTTCTAAAGGCGCTTATTAATGCAAGTGCCAATTTCTCTGAGTGTGGATATCTAGTTTCTTCTTCTCCTAGAGTTCGACTTACATAATAAACAGGGAATTGTTTACCTTGCTCTTCTCGAACCAAGACACCACTTACCTCCAAGACTGCTAAGTACAAGTAGAGTTTTTCATCTGCTTTTGAAGTATGAAGCAATGGTGACTCGAGAGGTATCACTTAAATTCTTCTAATTCATGTTGGCATTCCGGGGTCCAGGTGAAATCGTTCTTCTTTTGAGTAGAGAGAAGAATCTATGACTCCGATCTGACGATCTCGATATGAATTGGCCTAGAGCAGCTATTCGCCATGTCAGCCTTTGCACGACTTTAACGTTGTCCACGATAGTGATGTCTTCGATGGCCTTGATTTTATCGGGGTTGATCTCGATTCCCCGATTTGACACCATGAAGCCAAGGAACTTGCTCGAACCGACTCCGAAAGCACATTTTTTTAGGGTTGAGCTTCATGTTGTATTTTCTTAGTATCTCAAATATTTCCTGCAAATGTGTCAAATTGTCCTCTACACGCAGGTATTTAACTAGCATGTTATCAATATATACTTCCATTGTCTTACCTATCTGTTCTTCGAACATTTTATTTACTAGGCGTTGGTAGGTAGCTCCTTTATTTTTTAGTCCGAAGGGCATTACATTATAACAAGACGTTCCATACTTGGTGATAAATGAAGTCTTTTCTTGGTCTTCCGATTTCATTTGAATTTGATTGTACTTGGAATAGGCATTGAGAAAACTAAGGATCTCATGGCCGGTCATGGCATCGATCATGTGATCGATGTTAGGCAGTGAAAAGAATCTTTTGGACATGCCTTGTTTAAATCCTTATGATCTACACATATCCTAAGTTTGTTACCTTTTTTAGGAACTACGACTACATCGGCTAACCATTCGGGATATTTCACTTCCCGAATGGACCTTATTTTGAAAGGTTTAGTTACCTCGTCCTTTATGAATGTGTGTTTTGCCTCGGACAGTAGCCTTCTCTTTTGCTTTACTAGCCTGAACTTCGTGTCCAAACTCAGTCGATGAGTGGTTGTCTCCGATGGAATTCCTGTCATGTCAAGGTGGGACCAAGAAAAACAATCCATATTTTTAATAAGGAATTTGATGAGTTTTTGCTTGAGCTCGGGAGTTAACCTCGTGCCCAGGTATACCTTTCGATCGGGTAGGTGCTCGATCAGTATGACTTATTCCAGCTCTTCGATCGTTGACTTTGTGGCATCGGAGTCATCGAGAATTATGAAGGTTCGATGTGTCATGAAATTATAATCATCGATAATTTCCTGTTGTTTCGATCTGGTCAAAGCCAGCGACTGTGGTTGCTATTTGACCGTCTATTCTGGTCCCTTTGTTAATGTTAGGGTTTACACGAGTATCACTTCATCGATTACAAACATCTCTTTGGCTGCTGGTTGCTCGCTGTACACTGTTTTGACTCCTTCTAGTGTTGGAAATTTCAAGACTTGATGCAGCGTTGAAGGTACTGCCCTTATATTATGGATCCAAGGTCTTCCGAGCAGTGAACTATACCTTATAGCTCCTTCAATCACGTGGAACTTCGATTCTTGGATAGTCCCGGCCATGTTTACTGGCAACATAATTTCCCCTTTGGTGGTTTCACTTGCCATCTTAAAATCGTTGATCACTCGAGCTACAAGAATGATCAGATCCTGAAAGCCGAGTTGCGCCACGACCCTCGATCGAATAATATTCGCCGAGCTACCTGGATCAACCAACACACGTTTAATTTGAATTTTATTCATAAGGATAGAAACTACAAGTGCATCGTTGTGAGGCTGTTCAATCCCTTCTGCATCTTCGTCGTTGAAGGATAAGGTGTCTTTTGTTAAGTAGTCCCGGGTACGTTTCTCCCTTGTAATAGTGACTTTGGTACGTTTAAATGTTAGACCCTGAGAGATATCAACCCCACCGATGATCATATGAATCACATGTTGCGGTTCCTCCTGTTTGCATCCCTGTCTCCGAAGTGATTTTTTGCTCGGTCGCTCAAGAACTCTCAAAGATGACCTTCGTTGAATAAATGAGCTACCTCCTCCCTTAGTTGTCTGCAGTCTTCGGTTTTGTGCCCATGGGTTCCATGATACTTGCATGTTTGATTCGGATTCCTTTGAGTTGGATCGGTCTGTAAGGGTCGGGGCCACCTAGTATCCTTGATTCGTCCAATGGCTGACACAATGCCTGAAGCATCGATGCTGAAGTTGTACTCCGATAACCGTGGCGTTTCCTTAGGCTCGACATGTTTATCGAAGCCACTCTTACTCATAAGCCCTCGAAAATTTTGACCTCGATCATTGCAAACAGGATTACGTTCTAATTCATTGTTCCTTCGATCTGCATTGTAAGGTCGGTATCGATCTCTGTTTGATCGGGGCTCCCTATCGATATCTCTTTGAATCCTACCTTCCGATCTATTTGGATAAACGAAACCGGACGGGGCTCCTAACTGATCATCCTCAACTCTGATTTTGGATTGGTACCGATTATGCATATCGGTCGAGGTTACCGCTGGATACTCAATCAAATTCTGCTTCAGTTGACGTGATGCTACCTAACTTCACTCGTTCAGAGCCTGAGTAAAGGCTTGGACAACCCAATCATAGGTAACCAAGGGTAGGACCATGCGTTCCATCTGAAATCAAGATACAAATTCCCTTAGCATTTCATTATCCTTTTGTCTCACTTTGAAGAGGTCCAACTTCCTGGTCGCAACCTTTATTGCTCCGGCGTGTGCCTTTATGAATGAATCATCGAGCATGGCGAAAGAGTCGATGGAATTGGGCGGCAATTTGTGGTACCATATCATTGCCCCCTTCGACAAAGTTTCTCCAAATATTTTCAGCAAAACGGATTCAATCTCATCATCTTCTAAGTCATTTCCCTTTTATTTCGCATGTGTACGAAATTATGTGTTCATTAGGATCGGTGGTCCCTTTGTACTTGGGGATGTCCGGCATACGGATCTTCTTAGGAATGGGCTTCGGAACTGCACTTTGAGGGAAATGCTTTTGCACGAATTTCTTCGAATCCAAACCCTTTTGGATTGGGGGTGCCCTCGGTATTTGGTTCAACTCGTGAGGTGTATGTCTCTACTTTTTGTCATTAACCTCGATTTTCTTTTCACCTGATTCTATCCGTTTCGTGAGCTCCTCGAGCATCTTCATAATGGTGGGATCAGTCCCAGATCCATTATCGTTCAATTTCTCCTATACTGGTTCGACCCTATGAAAAACTTTCTTCGATGTATCGAGTTCGATTCTACTTGATGCCCGATTCTAGAGTTGTACTATTACAGCCTGCTGAGTTTGTAGCATATCAAATATCATTTGAAGGCTAATTCCGCCTTCTTCACCATTTTGTGTGTTCCGATCAGCTGCTCGAGTGTCTCTACGGATGTTGTTTTCGAGGTCGGCGCCTAATCTCCATGAATGGCGACATGAGAACTGACATCAACCGGGTCCACGGCCTGTGGTGCATCGGGATTGATTGGAGGTGCTCCGTTTTTCGGGGCGACTACATGCTCGTTTTCGCCATGAAGACCAAGGCCGGTGTTAGTGTGAGTGGGTACTGCTTGAGAGTTTGACATGTTGATTCCTGAAATCAAAAATACTCACAAGAACAAGCGTAAAAGCAGTGTTATGAAGGCTAAATTATTAAGCAATCACTATTATCCTTAACCCCACGGTGGGCACCAAACTGTTTACCCTAAAACTCGAGTAACAATTAAACTTATAATGTGGTTTTAAGGATACGTGATTTCGCTTAATACCAATTGGTTAATTTAGGGATAAGTGATGAAATTGATAAGAATGTAGAACAAACCAATGATCGGACAGTATCCTCGAGCTTGATAAACCCTCAAGAGTAATAAAGGAAGAACAGTTAAAGAATAATAATTAAAGAGCAATAAGCTGATGAGCAAAAGAAAGAAATATTATATTGCCTTGATCTATATGAATGTGAGAGGGTTTACAAATAATGGGGATCCCTCTTTATATACTAGTGGAATCCTAATTGAGGTACAATTCTAATTACAGTAAAAAAATCATATTAACATCTAATTAACTGCTGTAGATTGATCCGTTCCGAGATTCACGTCGTGATCTCCGATCGGTTACGGATATTTCGCCTTTCCCTTATTGTATTCCGCTCGAAACCGGTCATATCCGATCTCGATCATCGGGGATCTCGATCTCGACGGGTGTCTCGATCTCCAAACTAGGCACCTTGTCTCCGTATTCAGGTCTGATCCTTTACGAGGCTGACCCTCGATTCAGTCCTCTGATCTGGAAATAATGACTTGCCCGATTTTACCCATATACAATTTTATTTTTTGTAATTATCAATATGTATTTTCAATTTAAACAAATTGGATTCGAGTGCAAAAGCAAAACGATAAAGAGTAGTATATTTCCCAAAAAAGAAGTTAAAGGGCAGTATATTACCCATCAAACTTTACTCTTTTGTTGAATTGTACTTACTGTAAAAGACTGAGCCTTTTGACAAAACAACAGCAAAAAATCCCAAGTCCAAGAGCTTAAATTTGTGCAACCCAAATGGAAACTGAGGGAGATGAAGCCTCTCATCAACACTGAAAATGGAGCAAACTCACAAACCACAGTCAATTACCATCCACCTCAAGCAAAGGTTCAGTTTTGCCCGAAGAACTCATCATAGGAATTCTTGTAAGGGTTCAAGTGAATTTCCTTTTACAGTTTAAGTGTGTCTCAAAAGATTGGTTTGGTTTAATATCTAGTCCTGAATTTGTGAAGACCCATGTTAGTTTTTCTGCTAAGGATTACACCCGCCATATATCTATGATGAAATTTGAGAACATTCGTCACAATCTTAAATATTATTCTGTTAAGTCTTTATTTTATGAGCCTGTTACTGAGGCATTACACTTGGATTATCCCATGAATCTGTTCTTGTTTGGGTTCTGTTAATGGTTTGATTTGTCTTTCGAATGGGTTTGAGGGTTTGGTTATGTCAAATCCATATTAGAAAGTTCAAGCAAGTGCCTCACTTTATGCCTACACAGACTTATGAGTACTGTTCCATGTATAGTTTTTGATATGATGAAGTTCCTAATGATTATAAGGTAGTAGATATTTTTAGTAACATCAATAATGGCTGTGTCGAGTCCAAAATATATAGTTTAAAGAGTGATTCTTGGGGAGGAGTTGATGATTTTCAATGCGGAGTGCTATACTGTGGTTGGGCCTAAGTTCGTGAACAAGAAGCTTCATTGGGCTACTACTGGTGGTGATGGTTGGAGCATCATGTCGATTGATTTGGTTGATGAGAAATAGGGAAAAGTGGAGCAGCCCCGCTATGGAGAATGAAATTTTTGTTTGAAGCTTGGAGTGTTGGGAAATAATCTCTCTGTGCTCTGTAATTCTCGGTGAACTCACTCTGATGTGTGGGTTATTAAGGGGTATGGGGTTAAAGAGTCTTAGACAAAACTTTATACTATCAACTATCCTAATGATCCTGAGAACTACGAGCTTTCTCCACCACTTTGTATGTCAAATAAAGGTGAAAGTTTGCTTGTGTTTGAATCAACTTTAGCGATATACAATCCAGAAGAGGACTCAATCAGTTATCTGGAGGTTACTAACATTGATGGCAGTATTGAGGCGGATATCAACATTGAAAGAATAGTTTGTCCAATTTTACAAATGAACATTTAAGGCTGCTAGAACTCAGGTGAATGACAGTCGTATAGCTAACAACTTGTAAGTGTTCCTCTTCATTCATTTTTTGCATGTTTTAAAATTCTGCTTCCTTTTCACATATTGAACAAGACTTTGCATATTTAAGGACCAGCTTTACACCACATGTACTTAGATATCTTGGCGGTCCGTTTTGTTTTAGTATATTTCCAAGGAACAATAACATTGTGCAAGAACTTCTTTGTATCTTGTGTTTGGTGGCTTCTGCATTCTAACTTCTAATTCAAGACATTGGACATTCTTTCTCCTTTCAAGCAGTGGTTTGAGGGCACATGATATATTATAAAGTTTGGATGTTTTTCCTTGCTGCTAATAGCTTACTGTTATTTTTTAAGTCAATCAAAAGGCGAAATCTTCTTTCTCTTTAGTGATACCATTGACTTGGGAGAAGTGAGTTGAAGCATGAAAATTTTTTAGGAAGTGTTTATCTGCTAATAATTTTTAGTGTATCAGGCTCTTCTCCACTAATCATTCTCTCCATTTAGCAAGCTTTGCTGTATGACCGTGGAAGTTAGTGCAGAAGGTCAAAATTCCAACTTAAGTTGCTCGATTCCGGTTGATGACTTTTAAAGGGGAATGTCTTACATATGAGAACCTTATCAAAAGGGGGTTCTCTCTTAGTAGCAGATGCTATATGTGTCTACAACAATCATAAAACTCCTCCCTTTTGTTTTTGCACTGTACAGTCGCAGCAGATTTATGGAGTATGTTCCTCTGTCTTTTTGGAGTGCATTGGATCATGCCCCTTAGCATCTAGGTTTAAGGAGTATCCTTGCATGAAATTACACACTCTCAAATTCTCAATCTTTTTGTGATTTAATCAAATGCACTCAACTCGCGAGCAAACTAGAGGATTTGCATGAAAACTTCTAGTGGTTATGTGTCAATGAGAAATGTACCTTTGACCTGGCAAATACGTTGATGTGCGCTTACTGATCCAAACCAACCTTTAGTGGTTTAAATTTGTATTTACCTCAGAAACTGCCTTCTCAATGAGAACAGCAACTTAATACTCGCATATTGTCAATGATTGCAGGTTGCTGTGGAATCATGCATGTGTACAGGGAAACAAACTAACTAATTGTTGTTTTGGCAATATTTTGGGCAACTCCACTACTACTACTACTACCACCACTATAACTAACTGTATTAGATGCGGTATATTTGCTATACTATTATTACTAGTGTTATACACAAATGTCTGTACTTGCTGTAATAGGTGACCATGAGGGGGCTAGTATGTTATAACACACCTCCAAAATTTTGTTTTTGATTTCTTCAGTGAGAACTCTTAAGGTACCATGTTTTGTAGAAGAGTCGTGGTTTGTAAAATCTATGATGCTACTTAGTTATATATAGTAGTACTATCTGCTTAAGCCAAACCAGAAAAAGGAGGAAGAAAAGCTCATACATTCAAGGACAAGGTGAAAACTTCTCTATATGCACAGGATCATATATGGTTATTATGTATCCACATTGAATACACTAAGCTCTTGAGTTTTGTAAAGATTCTACCTGCTGTATAAAATTCAGCTAACTGTATAGAAAGAAAACTTTTCTAATTAAGACAAAGCATGAAACTTCTATGCTCTACAAAATCTGAAGTTTCATATAATACATCTCAAATAAATTACGTATAAAACTTGTAGTTAAGAACCAACGTATTTGATGTTTGGCTATAATTCTTTATTTTTAGTGCATTGTTTAACTTACATTTTGGTGTTTAATGTTAATATATGCGGCATTTGAGCTTAATGAAATCCTACTCGGCTTTGGACTTGGAGACTCCGGCCCTAGCCTATAAATTATACTATATTATAAGCATGAAGATCAAAAGTTGAATGTGAAAGACTAAAATAAACCTTATAAACTTAAGTGAGTATGATACCCTTCAAAAAATTATACCTTCATAAATAAGTATAAAACATTTTGGTTCCCTCAACCTTTTGCAATTAATATATCAAAGTTCTTGTATAATTTTGCATAACTATGAAAAAACATTCTTTTTGTTATGTTTTTGTTATTGTCAGTCGCTTCTTACTTAATTGTTCACAAAAAATTTGACAAACATTTAATTCTTCCATTCTTTAAAAAAAAAATATCATGTACAAATAAGTATTAGTTTCTCTTTTTAGTTGTTGCACGGATCATTTCGCAGAAACATAAAAATGGAACGACTTTAAGAACAATATCTACAAAGAAATATTATGTGAAATATACGGTCATATTATATGTTTATAACTCATAACAACTAATTAAATTTATGTAATTATAAAACACATTTGTCTAACTAAATATAATTATTGATCTTCGCAAAGCTATTGATCATGCCCAACTCTAGTCCTAAAAAGGATAAGCGGTCACTGCAAATATAATTTGGTCTAAAAGTCCAGAGTCGAATCCCACAGAGAACTAAGGTTTAGCTACCAGTGTTCACTATCACCAAGAAGCCAAGTTTGAACAATTCATAAGTTATAAATATAAAGATTCGTATACCTAACTAATTAACTAACAAATTAAAGGAGTGAATTAACAACTAAGATACTAAGCATTGGAGACAAGATTAAGGAGGTCTAGAGTTATGATTTCCCCAATTATCGGAATACTTCCCGCTACATCTCCTATAATTTTGCCTAATTATTCTTTATTGATCGTGAGCACTTCAGGTTTCGTAATTTTCTCCCGAGCAACTACAAAAATTTACTAGATATATTCTCCCGAATTACGCTAGCTGGCACAATCTTACCGCTCACTACGACCATGTCAAGGCTTTGTTATTCCTAAACCCATCTTTAAACCTGCCATATTGATTCCTCATAAACGTTAGGAGTGACGACATTCAACAACTACCTAAATATGTACCATTTCTCATGCAATACATAATAAATTGGCACAATCAATTGATGGTCATTCAATCAACAGAAATAAGCACGTAGTTGAACAAGTAAAGAAATTCAAAGGCTAAATTATATTCAAATTTAACAAGAATTCATCCTCCAAAAGGTTCCATCGAAACCAAAAATAATAAATTAACTACTCATAGTAGTATGTGAAAATACAATATTTAAATTCATAACCAACAATAAAAAATAGTAAGAAGAAAGGAAAAACTCGTGGTTGGATCTTCCTCTTTGTTCCTAGTGTATTCTTGCCTCCAAGGGTATTGTGTAACCCTAAAGTAGTGTCTCCTCTCTTAAATTTGTATTTTAGGATGTATTTATATCACTTAGGGTTGATGAGGGACAGAACTTTTCAATCCAACTTCGGATGGGAGAAGCTAGAGGGCGCGCCTGCCTTCGTGCAGCGCACGGCCATAGACGCGGATGCAGCTTTTACAATTTTCCAGTTCGAAAAGCGATTCGTGTCTTCGCTTCGCTATTTTGTGCCTTCATTTTTCTCCTTTTTTGCGTCCGTTTTCATTCCACGCACGAACTTGGACGAGCTCCCAATTCTTTCCATCTCTTCTTTTTTTGTCGAATTGTTATCTTGTGATCATTTATTATCCGAACTCGCTCCTACACATAATGAGCATATTTCACTTCAAAAACTACGTAAACTCCTGTGATTCACACAAGAATTAATATGCAAATATATTCAAAAATATGCACTTTTCATCATTTATCCTCACCCCACTCTTAAACTCTTGCTCGTCCTCGAGCAACTTAAAATTAAGCGCATACGCAAGAAATACCTTTCAAAACATAGTCAAGCATCACACCAATAACAATGGTTTATATCAACATTTAGAACCCAACATATGCACTCTTCATACATTTTCTCAAGTTCTAAACTCATACCAAGATTGTTTAAAAAATTTGTGTGACTCTTCTAACATCCTAGCCTCAAAAATTGGCTCCACTACATTCCTCTTTATGACTCGCTTCTTGTGCAAACTAAAGATACGAATTCTTTACCAATACATTGTAAAGCATGTGCCTTCACTAACAAAACAAAGAGAGTAATCAGTCCTCACACTCAAATATGAATTCAAGTATAATTTAAGGACTCACAAAATAAAATAATTCAGTCACTCTCGCAAAGAAACTCATGTGCCCCCACAGCTCGTACCATACGCTTGCCCATAATATAAGTCTCTACTAATTTAAGCTCGCAAAGTATAGGATCAAATAAGTCTTCATGGGTTGCAATGTAGGCTAAGGAACGGGTAGGATAGATATGGATAATAGTGACTAACCTTCCTAAGCACTTTTAATACAATACACTTTAACTTTTAAGCACATCCTCTTTATGATCACTCAACATATCGCTACGACACCGTAAATAACATAGCTCATTGACTTTAAGTACATCTACATAAGCACTAGCACATATCAAAAAAAATTAGAGGGATTTTTTATTTTGTATTTTCTTTTTCTTTCTTTCTTTTTCAAAATCTTTTCAACACCCTCCATAAATTGGTATTTCCAGCTAGTGGCTCTCTCAATACACACATGCACCTTTTGGCCTTTCTAAGGTTTCACTCAAAAACTACCCAATCTCTTTTTTTCTCTTATAGTGACTAAAGTGCTTTCTGAGGTAAAGGTTCAACAAGATATAATTAAGAACAAAAAGGATTCGTCTTGTAATGTTGGTACCAAAGAAAAGGTTTACAGGCTCAAATAGGCTGACAAAGGATAATTTTTATCAGTGGTAGGAAAATAGACTGAAAGATCAATCAAAGAAGCACCTATATCATTTCTTAAGCTCACAAGACTTAATCATATCGCTTTGACTCACACACGGGGCAAGTTCTAGACTAACGAGGGATGGCACAAAGTACAACCAAAATCTCACCTCACATAATACACATGACTTACTCAGGACAACTCAGACCCGACTCTCAAGTTAAAGCAACTAGCACAGTCATCATATAGACCAAACACTAGGAAGTAACAACAAGAGTCAATAGACGAGTCCAAGCGTCAAAATAAACACATATACTCTCAAGGCATATAGTCATAAGAATAAAGAAGAAAGTACTCAGTGCGAATGCTCCAGCTCTAAGCCCCAACATAAAACATGTCAAAATCATAGATACTTAAGTTCTTCCCATTCCATTATCAGTTGGAAAAAAAATCTTTTTGTATTTTTATTTAGACTTTAAACTCTTAAAAAAACTATCTAGGAAATCCGTCCTTGGAAAAAGTCTAAAACTTTTTGAAAATTCTACTTAAAAAATTACTATGCAATTCAAAGAGTCATCCCTTGGAAAAGAACCGTGGTCATAAGAAAAACCAAGAGAGATTATTTCTACCTAATTTTTTTCAACAAATATAAAATAACAAAACTAAACTAGCATAGGAATACACCCAAACAGTCTCTTTAGCCCACACTTAAAATTGTGCATTGTCCCCAATGCACACCCATAAATACAAAAAAGAGTAAAATAAACTCCCTAATAGGCCATAGGCCAAAGCATTAGCAGCTCATGGGGTACCCAGACTTATCTCATACTTGATTCTTTGTGCAGGCACCCCACACTTAGTTCTCACCATCTCACGTGCTTTGCTTTCTTCCAACGGCTTTGCTTCCCATGCTCCTAGAAAATAAAAAAATGACACTACAAAAAAAAGTATAATAAAAAAAATTAAAAAAAAAAAGATAAAGTCAGGTTGCCTCCCAACAAGCGCCTGATTTAACGTCACGGCACGACGTGAAAAACTTTCTGCCTCCACCTCGGGCTTATGAATTGAACCCCAAGTTTTGCTTCAAGCTTATAATTATGCTCCTGGGGCGATACAAGTTCTTGCGAGCCAAAAATTAAATAATTTCTCATGCACTTTTTTGCTCTCGACCGAGGAGTATCACCTTGCCTAGACGGCCTTGAAACCTTCAAAATATAAGGCTCATCTCCTCTTCCGTTGACTTCTTTGTATGCTCATAAAGATCTATTTTCATTTCACCATCAGAACACAAGGTAGAGAAGTGTTTGGAATGATGTCCAACACGCTCAAATACATGAACTTCAAGATTTTCAATTCCCTCAACACCATTCATACTAGAGTCAAAGAAATATATATCTTTAATGTCCTTGGTTGACTCTAGTATCTCTTCTACAACATCGGCATCATCAAATTCTAGTTTGACAGATTGTTGGTGTTCTACTAGGGACCATTCTATTGGCACCTCAATTTCCTCAAATTCTAGTATCGAGGTGGTGGTTATTGTACATGCCGAGCGGTATGGTTATCAGTTAAGTTATTATTATTGCAGTTAGTTGTGAGTTTTACTTATGTTCCTATTATTTCCGTAAATACTTAGGCTTACCTAGTCGTAGATAATGCTGCTTGGTGGGTCAGGCCTGAATCGGACCGGACCGGGCCCGCGGTCCTAACGGGCCTGGTGGGCCGGGCCTGGTGGTCCTGAGAAGCCCGTGACGGGCCGGTCCTGGTGGTCCTGAGAAGCCCGTGACGGGCCGGTCTTCATATATTAGCCCATGAGCCCGGGACCGTCAGCCGGGCCTGGCGGGCCTAACAGGCCCAACGACTATTTTTTTTTTAAAAAAAA